TAATTTTTTCAAATTTTTTGGTCGTTAAATTAACGATTTTCGTCTCGAACGACGCAGCGTCGTAACGACTTCCTGTCGAACGAAATCGTTGGAAGTTGATGGGTATCCTGGAGTTGGTGGCCTCAAATATTGTTTCGCGAATCGTTCGACTGACCAGTGACTTCGTGCTATTGTGGATCTTCAAGTTTTTTAAAGGAAAACTCCAACAAGTGAAAAGTGAGTTTAAAAAAAAAATAATTTCTTTTCAGAAATAATAGTATTTTTGAAAATTTTCACAGATGGCATTCCTGAGGATCCTGGTGTTGCTGGTCGTCGGTGCTGTGGCTGCTGGAGCGGACTGTGGTCCAGAAGACGGGGCGTTCGTGTGCCGAGACGTGTGCGGCGAGGAGGTGAGGGGCGCCGGCGGCTACGGGCGCCGCGTGACGTTTGTTGGAGCGACGCTGTTCCTGGACTGCGTCAGGCAGGCGGACTTGAAGGTGAGTTTCCAAAAAGTAAAGCAATAAACTAGTATGACAGCCATTTTTGTTTGTAGGAAGTGAAGCTGTTGTCGCCGACGGTCTGCGTTGGACGTCGGTCCGAGATGGATCGAGTGGTGACGCCGTGGAGGTGGTGCGAGGAGGTTGTGCCACCCGAGCCGGAGATCTCGACGGCGGCGGTTCCGCCGGTGGTTGGTGAGTTTGTTTTCAGCTTTTCCACACATACATAAAGCATTACAACACAACTCACACACATAACATCTCAACACATATCCATCAACTGACCGACACCAAAACAAAAATTTCCTTCACCAGATGTTAATAAAAATTTGTATATACAGATGAGCCTCGCCCGGTGGCGCCGACGGCCAACCTGGCGGTCGTCCACGTGCCGGCGGACAAAACGCCGTTTGTGGTCCGGGCGCCGCCCTCGACACAACAAAGCGTCGTGGTGGCCCAAGAGGTGCCGCACGTCATCAAAGCGCCATCGTCTACGCCAGAAGTGACTGTCAACATCAAACATGGTGTTGCGCACGTCGAGGCGGATGTGGACCCATGGACGGCGATGGTCTTGGTTTTCATGGGCCTTGGGGGGGCTGGAGCCACATCCTTGGCTGTCTTTTTGGTTTGGCTCGTCAAGTTCATCAGGAACAAGGTTAGCCAAATTTTCTTTTGCTTTTTTAATAAAATTATTAACAATGCTTTTTGCTTTTGTGCTTGCTTTGCTTTTTTTGTGCATGTATTTTTGAAACAGAGAAAGAAAAGAATTTTAAAACTAGATAAGACTAAAGTTAAGGAATGCATAGTAGGATCTATGCCCAATATATTTTTTAATGGGCTAGATTCTGATGATGAAGAGTTTGAGGTTTTCTCTCAGAACTATGCAGATATCAGGGCTAGATCCCCAAAGGTTTCAACATTTAGACAAGGTAAACAAATTTAGCATGTAAATACAAAACAACGCATGCTATAATTTTCGATGCTTTGCTTGGGGCTTTCTCTTTTTGTTTTTTCTGTACAGTCATCGTACATGAGGGAGTTGGTGCGGATGCTGACGCCGGAGGATCAGCCAGATCCGGAAGCCCAACCAGTGGTGGATCTGCTGGGGCTGGAAGAGGCGGATAAACCC